ATCAATCCCAGCTTGTGAATCTACGTTCATTCTGAAATAGCAACAATTAATCTTGGTTTTTCGGCAGATTGAATCCATATTTCAATGTCAGAATTAAAGACAAACGTATGTTTACTAGATCTTTATCAAAATGTAGCTAGGATTCTGAAAAATAGAATTTGCACAGGAAGCCTAGAAAAACGTTCTGTGGCCATCTTCGGCTTTTTTAAAAAAATAAAAAAAATCGAATTCTATAAATTTTCCAAGCTCAAGATGTAAAACATGAGTATAGAACGGCAGCTCTCAAAACAGGAAATATATGTCTGAATGAACTCCTAACTCCGAAATTTGTGCAATATTTATCAAATAATCTATTCTAATGTCAATCTGCTCGCAATTACTCCATATCTGTGTACTTTCTCAGATTTGCATAAAAATACTTATCGAAGCCAGTTGGTGTTCTAATCAAAAGTAAAAAAAAACCGCTAGATCTCGCAAAATCCAAACCACCATCAACCACCACAACTAAAGCCATTGAGATTTCTGTCCAGGATCGACCGTTTAGTTCAAAAGTCGAAATTATTTATGTAGCGTAAAATTTCGGAGCAATTTTTCATAGCAAAGTTACTGAATATACAACAAATCGGCAACGGAACAAATGATAGAGATTAAGGTAAGGCATTATATTTTTCGTTGACTGGAATCTCTCATTGAGTGAAGAAGAACGTTCAATATTTTTGTTTTACTAAATCGGTTTACAAAATTTCTTACTTTTTCGCTACTGTTTTTCAGATCAATATAAGTTTTAACTAGCCGACACCATCGTATAGCCAAATTTCTCTCATATAAGAAAAAACAGCTGGAGTTACCTTGCCTCAACATCGTTTATTTCCAAGAAAAAACTCTTTTGTTATTCTTTTCCAATGTTGCCTTTTCTCACACTACTTCACAGGGAAAGATGAAAACTGTTCAAAAATGTATACTATGTAAATAGTCTACCTTTGCGGTGAACAGCAAGATGAGTGCTCATAAAATGTCGCGTTCAAAGCTACATCGAATCTGGTTCTTGAAGTTCTTTCGGAAGTTTTTAGCATTTCTTATCAGCAATCAAATGTCGTCGCCTTTTCTCAGCAAAAGCACTTTGCGACGGGACTACAAATGATGATTGCTGATTATTGAGCAACAGACTTTGACATGGAAATGTTGTAGATGTCCATGGTATGAGAATTCAAGAGCATAAAATGTGGAGTACACGCTGTTTGATTCAAAATAGAACTATAAAAAGTCGAATGAAGGACATTGAGTGGAAAAGTTCTGCATATGGCTCAAATCTGCAGATTTTGGATCCGCAAACAACTCGTCGATTTGCTAACTTTCCTCAAAATTACTACAGTAATCGGTGACTTAAGGGGCCATAGTAAGCATTTTATCTTTCATTAAAATTGTGACTTTTTTGTTGAAAATCAACTTTGCAAAAAAATTTTGGGGCGCACCGAACTTGCGTAATCGCCAAATCTACCATATAAACGTCATACGAAAAACCCTGGTCCAGAAAGAAACTGTGGTTCTTAACAAGGTGAGTTTAAATCGAAGCTTATTCGTATAGTTCCAGTCTGTAGAGGTGAAGTGCTTTTTCGAGGTTTTTACTCCAGGGTAGGATTACTACAGGTTCCCTATTTACAGAAATGGTGCTATTTCTTGTGGAGTGGATCTTCGGAATCAGTTGTGCAAACCCCAACTACAGGGTGTCCTAAAAGTATGTATACATTGTTTGAACTGTAATAACTCTCTTGCTTTATTGCTTTTTGGCGAACTTTAGGTAACATTTTGTAAAGCGAGGTTCAACTTAGATTCAAAGTATGGAGCGGATTACCGACTGCTTTTTACTACTGTAGGATTACGGTAGGGAATTCAAGAAGGAATTAGAGCCATTGAGGGCCCTATTTTGCCTTAGAAAGCGAACCATACAAACTGAAAACTCTTACACTAGGCTATTTAAAGTCGCTGAAACCAAATATAAATTTTGCATTTTACCGCAATGCTTCCTTCATGACTTATGTAAACCGCAACATCTTTCTTTACAATGCTTCGTGAGACGGTGATTATACCATCTGAAAAGCTTTACAGACTCCCAAAACGTTGAACAATGAAATCAGCACGCATGAAATCCCTCATGCACCACTTTCCAGAATTTTTGGAAAAACTTTTTGAACCGCGACTAATCCACAATGAAGTTGTAAGCCGAAAGTTCTTACCGTAATCCTACAGTAACGAAGAGCGACCGGTGGTTTGCTCTATACTGCAAATTTTAGTTGAAGCCAGTTCTACAAGATGGACCTCAAAGCAGGCAGAAAACTTCTTGGGAAGAGAGATATTAACGACCAAATGTGTATACATACTTTTGGGACACCTTGTATTTTCCCCCCAGCTTTATATCTATCTCTTGATTTTTTCGTAGTAGCAGAGAAATTTTAGCGAAAGTATAAGATTTAGGCAGAACGTCAAAACTCCGAGTCTAAAAGTAAAAATTTCTTTAACACATAAAGTGAACTTGAAAGTGATGCCAGTTCTCGTGTTTGGGTGCTAAAAGCTATGAGTAATGGGTACACAACACACAAATATAGCTGCTTGATTCTGTTTTTATTTGTAAATTCAAAATAACAGATTCTACATTGAAATTCGATGAAAAAAGTGCTGTTCTGTGAAAACATATAGGCAAGAGAGCGTCATGTACTCATTCTTTTTGCTTAGGCCCTCTAACGTCCGCCGGCGAGATTAAAGTGCCTTTCAGATTATCTTCACAACCAAATCTTTACATTGCTGTCAGTGAAGGCCAGCAATTTTTTGAATTAGGCTGTCACTTCCGTTTAGAGCCAGACGACCTTGTTTCAACTTGCTATCAACTTCTGACAACGGCTATAACTCCTCACATGTTAAAAGATTCGAATTTAGTCGGTACAGATCAAATAGAAGAACTGGCGATTACTCTAAATATAGATGCGTTTTGGAATATATAGGTGGATTCTAATAGCTTTAACCCCCTTAGGAAGAGGCCCTTCGATAAAAATTTCTTAGACTAGCTCTTCACGGACAGCACATTACTGAAAGCAGAAGCACTGCGATGAAATTGGCTTTTAACGCACACGATATTGCTGATAATGGATGAAGTCATGCTTCAGAATTTTCGAGGCCCAAAATCAGCCCCAAAATCTATAAGAAGAAATTATGTGGCTTCTCGCATGGACGTCCTATAAGGGGTGCCAATAAAGCTTTCACAGCAGTTTTCCGTTCATTTGATTGCTTTGGCCAAACATCAGAAGATGAGAAAACCATACAAAATTTCTCATATTATAAAGCGTATGTGCTAATTTTTACTTCTTATTTGCTCACATGAAGGAAGGCAACTTGATATGGACAAGCAACATCGTACCCACGTTTAGTGGTTTTGGGATAAACAGACCATTTTCTTGCAAATTGAGATGCAGAACTTTGACCACGTCTTTGATAAAATTTGCAGGATGGAAACAAGTTTGGTCGCGCAAACCTTGAATCATCAGGAAACTAAACTTTTTCTATTTTTAGATACTGTGATGGAAAAAAGTTTAAGCTCTTGCCATGCTTGATGTTACCGCGATTTAAAACCCATGAATTCGCTGGTTTTTTCTAATAAAGGATTTTTGCATGTACAATTACACCATCCACATGAAATAAGAGATTGCCGGTAGTAGACAAAACCAGAATCAATCGTAGTTGTGTCATTAATGAATTTACTTTGAACGAACCTGAAAGCACTGTGACTGGTACCGCATAACTAACACAACCAATTTACTAGCAATAACAACACTCTTTGGACTAAGTCTGTATAAAAAAGTAGCAAAGTAAATAATGAATCAGGACTATAACATGCAAACTGAATAATACAGTTCAATGGTTATCGCACTAACATCACCATTTACGCTGTTGTTTAGTTTGAGTAAGCATTATAAGAATGTGATGGAAGACTGCTGAATCAATTTCTAAATAACTATTGCATGAAAGGGATGGCATCGAAGATGTGATAATATCTATGGCATCGAAGACGTGATAAAATCTATGGCGAAACATTGCTGAGTTAGAGTGCAATCAGTATGAATAAAGCCGAATGTCTGTTTGTATGTCTGTATGTATGTCTGTAAGTTTCTAAGTATGTTCCGAATAGAAATTTTATTTCAGAATCAATCCGGACCAAATCTTGCGCACATACACGAAGGAGGGGTTAGAGAAGGTGTCGTAGGCGACTCTTAGCTATCCATCGATATCGATTTTATCGATTTTTTTTGCAAAGTTTGAGCTACGGGCCTGGGATCTGGCTCAAGCCGGTAGGTGAGCATGTTGACGAATATATTATTAATGACAGGGTCGGGCGGGCAGAGGGTTTGCCAAGTATGAAACGCTCAGCAATGTTCAAGATACTGTAAATCTTAAAATCGAACAAATATGAACTTCTCCTAGAGCGCCACAAAAGAGTTCAATTACCAAATGGCTCTAAGGGACCCGTCATACTTCGCCGAAAAAGGACAAATAAGCCCAAAAAAGCCAAAAAAGCCCAAAAGCGCAAGAAAGAGCCGGAACGGCGCCTTCCGCGCGCACGTTTTGGCGCTAGGGCATGTGTGTGGATTTCGCAACAGAGTCTTTTTGGTTTACTTTCTGCCGTCTGCACATCAAAATAATGTCAGAATTCTATCAAAGTTCGTTTCTGCGTCTCGGCTCTTTCTGGCGCGCGCTTTTTCGAGCTTTTTTGGCTTTTTTTGGGCTTTTTGGGCGCTTTTGGGCTTTTCTCGGCGAAGTATGACGAGTCCCTAAGACTGCTACTGAATTTAGCCTATTGATGAGATACACATTCATCCAGATAGCATGCAATGCGTTTATTTTGATATGGAAAATTAAGAACTTCGGTAGAGCTTATGTAACGTAAACAAACTCTCTTCATGAAAGGGTGGCCATATAGGCTTTTCCACTAACACTCAGAAATTATACAAGAATTATGTGAACTTCTTAGTATTTTTTCGAGTTGTGAGGTAATGCGTTGCTCGACATGAGAAACTTTTAGCACGGTCCAAAATTGTTTCTCTATCACTTGACAGTAGTCTGAAAAAAATACTGCGAGTAACATATGCTTTTGAATTGTAGTTCGGAACCACTGCGCTATCCTTAACGATTTCTAGTTGTAGCCAGCCTTTCATGGCTTCTGAAGTTTACTCTCACGAAATTCTAACGACGAAATGTTCATAGGTGAACTTTGAGTGACGCTGTCACCTCAGCGAATGAATGTTAGGTGCAAAAAAGTTGTATATTATATACAGACATGGTAAAACTTTTCCTTCCTTGCCGGAAGCGGATGGTACTTCCTTAGCTTTTTTTATCTGACTTTAGCTACCTATACGCCCCCATATTTACCTCTAGAATTAGAACTTTCTAAGAACTGTACATACGTTTTTACCAAGGATAACAGCGGTGGCGATTTTGAAGTAATGTTTTTTAAGGATCTGAAACTAACAAGGGAACCGTGTCGAAACGAAGTGGCCTTTCCAGATGAGACCCATATTGCTTTGAAGAGCAGTAATCGATGATTCCAAATCTGCTTTCCAAATCTGCCAAGCGCCTTTAGACGCCGAGTTGTGCTCGTTTTTCAGGTCAAAAAATTGAACGCAAAACTGAAGCAAAATCGCCCAAATCTGCTCAAATGGTCCAGATCAAGTAACAGAGCTGTTTATGCAATGGATACATTTTATTTAATATGCTAATACTCAACATTGCTTGAACGCTGGAAAGATTGTAACAATCAATTTTACCTAAATTCTGCATTCATTTTTCGTTCCGAAGAACGGTCATAACTCGGAGTCCAGAAGCGCTTGGCAGATTTGGAAGGCAGATTTGGAATCATCGCTCAATACTCTTCAAAGCAGTATGGGTCTCATCTGGAAAGGCCACTTCGACTCGGCGCGGTTCCCTTGTAAGCTTTTCAACATCACATTTGTTTCGCGATCACCTAACAGTTTTGAAACACCAATTACGCCTTTTCTTAACAACGCATAAGAATGTCGTAAAGGGTGGACGAACTGCAGTAGGAGTGCAATTGCACATTAATCACCAAAATTTGATGTTCTAGCAAAATGCCGTTAAGCTCTCTATACTGTTGAAAACTGTGAGCAGCATTCTATTCCATGTTGATTTATATTAAAAACGCAATCTTTGATGCTTTCATTTTTTTAAAGTCCCAATGACTTTATTAAATCTAATTCAAACGCTTCTTTTGACCCATTTTTTCGTTTGCTTTAGCAACATGTTATCAGCGGAATGTGTCATGTGGATACGTAAATTTTGCAATAACGATGTCTTCAGTGTCGACGATAACTATGCAAATTCGAAAAAAGTATAAAAAATGTCATATCACCTGTTTTCACTAACGATGTGGACTGATTTTTTATTATTTATCTGCTGACGTACACTCAAGTAAAGAAAATAAGAAGAAATGCAGAAATACAACATCTGACCTTATGTCAACCCCATCTCTAAAAGTGTGTAACTGCACACAGCAAGGAATCTACTCGGCTATATGTGCGTGGCGCTTTTCATAAGAGCTCATGTCGGTAAATGCTGTTCAGCTGCAAAACAAAAAAAATGTTAATCAATGATTTTCTTATTATTTTCACCCACTCTACCAGTAATTATGTCAGTTCATTAGAGACATTGCTTGATTGCACGATATATAAACGTCATCATCAACAAGAAGACAACTTCTATTTTGAATTTGCGCCAGTGCGGTCTCGCTTGGTCCGCTGACCATCCTTTAAAATTTTTTCGATCGGTGGTGATTTTTAAAGCAAAATTGCAAAAAAGAAATAGCGTGCCAGAGTTATAGTACTTGCGATTCGAGAAGGATGCTCATGCAACGTCGAATTAACCCATTGACGACGATGTGGACCACCGGTGGCCCACGCACTTCTTGCTGTCAGGGACGAAGTGGACGGTGACTAGCACCTCTTGCAAAGTCATATTATTTGTAGGTCTAGTTTTTCATATATCAATATTTTTCCCATTTTTGTGCACTCTTGGGGCTTCCAGACCCCGTCGTTTAACAAAAAGTTTATGATTGTTTACAAAACAACATTGCATTTCTTAAACAACCACAAAACCTTCCCTCTCTGAGTGTTCTGCAAAATCGCGTTGTCCCACAGCGCCACCATAGACATCGTCGTCAATGGGTTAAGATGTGATTCTCGTCTCGTGACTGCATTGTGTGAACCTTTTTTTTCGATATTTTGCACAATTTGTATGGTTCAATAGTTCCATTCATGAAGTGTATTCATTGCACCAAATCCCTTAAAGATAATGAGCTGCTCTGCGTTTCTTGGCTGGTTTGCGGTTCCTTTTGATGAAGCCAGATTTCCGTTTAGAAAAACGACAATTTACTTATCATCGTTGCAGATGCTAATATGGTATAAAAAAACTATTAGTATGTTTATACGCATTGGAAAATCAGCTTAAATCTATTAATATGAGCTCCGCGAAGGAGTTTAGATCTACTTATCAAGGAACTGAGACTTTAAGCAATGTTTAGTCAAATCTCAATGTCTGGGCTTCGTACGTGACAATTGATGTGAGAATCCCAACTTAGCCAATGCTCAAGTCACAACCCTATATGGCTTACATCTGTGTTCAAGTTTTTGCCCGGAATGTACTCTCTCCGAGCTGACCAATCAGCGTTCCCCATGCACGTTAAGCTGGCTAGAAAAATTACGATAGTGGGCGAGATTTTAAGGTGAATTCTCGGCCATGAATGAAATATACTGAGTGTACAGTGCCTTAACAAAGCCACCTTAATCGGTTTCCACATAAGGAAGCCGGTACCCTTTCAAATTAGAATTAAGAAACTAGAAACGTATATTTAGTCCACTATGGAATGTGTAAGAAAATTTGCTCCGTGTCATCAGGCTCCAGAGGCAAAAGCTTATCTCAAAAGTTTATTTTTTGGTTTATTGTATAGAAGAAAATCTGGAGAGGTGCCAATAAGGGGTGTTGTCTTTGATTAAGGAAAATTATGTTTTTCATTACGAGTAAACATACTAGTCGAAGCAGTCGAAGTGCAAGGATTGTGAAAAAGTTACAATTTCGGTAACGGATCAAACATCTTCCGTAAACTTTGGCTTTCTGTAGGGCTTGGATTTTTTCAAGCAAGTGTAAATTAGAGACCTTAGTTCTTTGTGGTCTTCCCATGGAACTCTATTAGATGCGTAAGAAATTTGATATTCAACTTTGAAATGTTCAGCACCAATAAAAAGTGAAATATTTAAGCAGTTCTCGTGCGAACTAGGTAAGAACTATCTTTTGCAGAACCAGGATCCTTCTTCTCTTTTTTATGTATTTAGTGATGGATGGTTACGCAGTACTTGCGAAAAAACGATAGGGACTTTCCTTTTGTCTACTACATTATCTGTTTTATACATCTAACTGCTTCCTCTACATCGAACTTTTTCGCAAGCATTAATTTATTTTTCTCAATAAAAACTTGCAGCATCTAGATGTTGCGTTAGCATTCGAGATTTCCACCCTGCAAATTTGAATTAACTTGGAGCATTTGTCTAAGAGATGATATCATGACTATAAAGAAAAAGACGGTATTTGACAATGAATAAATGAACAATAAATGTTAATCCATTTTAAGTCGAGTGTTATATATCAAGAAATGCTGAAGTTCTGTTTTCAAATGTTTTCAAGCACACCAAATCAAAAAAAAATGTTATCTGCGACAAATTGGTCAGAAAGGATGTTTACAATCATATATAACAGAATACATCCCTTTGGAAATAATTCAGATGCTTCAATGGATTTATAACTCTAATTATCGATGATCTTTGGTTTAGCTAAAAAACACGCACCATTAGAAAATTCGCTTTCATGGGCAGTGAACTTGTTTTTTTCTGTGGTACTGAACCCTTCACTAAGCAAAAACTATAGATAATTATCGAAGTAAGTTCCAGGTACTTCCTTCATTATTTTGCTTAATTATCACTATTTTTGAAAAGCCATTTTTTGCGGAACTGATGTCTTGTATTGTGTAAATTTGCGTTTCTTGTGTAACTCTACCTGCAGCTTCTTTTCGGCAAACAAAGAAGAAGCCCATTTGCATAATAGAGTAATTTTCTCATGTTCGTAGGGGGTGGGGAAGTCCTTTGCGTAAATTTTGCCCCTTGCTACCGTATCACTTATCTCACGTTTATTTACCCATGATTCCAGCTCATAAATTTCTTAGGGGGGGGGGTGGTCCTAGTCAATCTTTCGCGAGTTTAGACAAAGTTTTAGTTAGACAAAATTTGAAGGTTTCTTTAGATATACCAAAAGTGAGAAACACTATTCTCATAAGAAAAAAGTGTATAGAAAAAGAGAGAGCTTCTCCTCTTGATTAAAAATGAAGATTCAAGTGATATCTCAACACAAAAACCAGGAATTGTGCCATAGTACCAGTGCACCTCATCTTTCAATAGATTAACGATCTGAGCCTAAGTTGTCAAGAAAGCTTGATTGCGCAGGCGTGAAGAGTACTGATTTACACAGCTAATTTCACATACAAAGCTCTCATTAATGAATATCTATTGAAAAGCACCTGATAGAGCTTCTTTGTCTTTATCTGAGGAAGTGACCATGTAAAAAAATCAATCTGATTGAATGAAGACTCGAGGAACTAGGCCTTCTTGAAAACGAAAAAAACGAAATCGTCAAATCTGTTTACGAGAAGCTACTACACAAGAATTTAAACAATAAATCACTCAAACGATTTTAATAAAAACAGCATTCCATTATTATACATTAGGCTTCTGATAATCTTCCTTAGCCAAAATCAATTATGTCGTGTCTAGTTTTTCGCTTTTAAAGTTTGTCAGTCATATAATCAAACAATTAATACCAGGTGGTCGTCGCAGAGAATCTGGAACGCTGCCAACGATGCAAGCACCGAATATCTAGCATTTTTCAACAATTATTCTAAATTGCTAGCCAGGGTACTCATTAGAAATCGTGCATGATTTATCTCCTAAGCTGATGTGGACACTACAGATCGTTCGTACAAATCATTTGAATAAGATAACGACCCTCAAGGGGAAGCGTCTGCAGTCTGGAACTTGTGTATAAACTCAAAACAAGAAGTTCGCTGAATGCATAAATTTAAATTATGGATGAACTTGCTTGGAAATATTAGGTGATAATGTTTAAAGTACTACCGAAGTCTGGATAATTTTGATAAAAAAAAGCATTTGTCTTTTCTGACGAATCTGAAACATGTCATTTGCAGAACATTTCATACTGCAGTCTGGAAATATATTTGGCAGTTTGCTAGAGAAACTTTTAAAAGAACAGTTCCACCTACTACCTTTCTCAACCAAAAATTCTAGGGTTGTCTGAAAATGAATGGAAAGAGAGAGAATACATAGTATCAGCTTTTCGAGGATTGATTACTTTATTGAATTATCTTCGTGCTTAGAATATTCTACATTTGCAGATGTAAAATTGTCCGCAGCTTGTCCCTGTATAATTGCAACAATTATTTAATTAAGATTACTCTTCTTCTTTTCGCGCAGAAAAGAAATTTCTAATTAGTTGCAATTTGTTAGCCTTTATGATGGAAGTTCTTGAATTAGTAGGTATTGAAAAGAAAACTCCTGAGGTTTTTTCTATCCTAGTAATTTCTATCCACATGCTGCCAGTGGCGATTCCTATAGTTCTGCGCATGTGAGCTTTTGAAAAGTGAATTTTCAAGCTAGAATCGTCGTATTTGTGCGAAATCCTTTATCAATGACTATGAGCACACCTTAATCCATTTGTTTTTTGTCAAAAAATCCATCTGAAAGCGCATGCATTAGTATTCGCCCCCGTCGAAACTACTCTCTCTTCTCGACATCCTCAGTTGGGGCGGGGCAGCGTTCGAGCGGCAAACCAGTCGCCTTCACACATTTCACCAGCAATGCACCAGCCATCCATGCTACGCCATCTGCTTCTGCTCCTCTTAGCCATTGTCTGTGGTAAGTCCCTTTACTAGTAAACCATTGAAATTCCCAAAAAAATCTGCGCAAGGAAGCAATCTGCCAATTCAGAACGCGCTACAGTACCTTAGGTTGGAGTTATGTCGGAATGAAGAACGTGTTGCGGGTTTTTGGAAGAACTTTGGCCACAGATTCCGTCAAAAGAGCTTTGGATATACCTATAAAAAATTCTGACATCAACCCTAGCATTCTAGACTCCACCTAAGCCTTAATAAAAAGTACCTCATCACTTAAAGCGCGGATATGATCATAAATCAAAGTGCCATCAGCAACACTTGAATCCGCCTAAGCCTATACTTATAGAAATTTTCTTTCACTCAAAGGAGCGCGCATACGAATTAGAAATTCCAGAATCGTTCAGCATCTTCCGAAAGAAATTTTCCCAAATATGCTTAGAACGCTTATCAATATTGAATGCGCAAAAGCAAAAAGAGCCATTAACGAATCGTATAAAGCGGATTTACGTGCAAGATCTTACAGAAAACCCGTGTTTCATCAACATCCATACTCTCCCTGAGGGTATTTGAAATTGCGCAATAATCTTTATATTTGAGGCTGTAACGCTTTTGCTATGGGGCTAACAATATCTACGCATTTTGGCAAACCTTTACAGCCATATATTTTCCTCTAAAGACACTTTTGTATATGACTTAAAAAGTTAGATGTGATTCTTGATAGATTATGTGCTAGAAATAGGATCTGCTGTATACGAGGGCCAATTAGCGATCAAGAGGATCACTATTACGACAAGAGGAAACACATTTGGCCAGACGAGCATAAGCAATAGTAGATATTGCTTGTAATACTATTAGAAAATTTGATTTTTTGTGTTTTGGCTGAATTTTAATAGATGATCGTAGTGGTCGGAGATGGGACAAACGTAACAAACGAAAATAAAAGTCGATCTATGCGTTCTGTTAGCAAAATGGTTAAAGTCCATGTGTTTTTAGGTGATATTTTGTTCCTGGAGAATCCTTAAAATAAGGATGAATAGTCACCGATTTAATAAAAGATGAAAAGTCAACAAGACAAATAAAAAGCCGTTTTTCATCACGTGGATTCTCGTCTATTCAACTATATCTGGACTGATATTAATCACAAATTTCTTATGGAACACAAGAACACCATTCTCCTTTTTCGAATATTTTGAGATTATTTTGTTCAAACGAGTCACACTAGTAATTACGATATATGATATGGTGCACGAGGGTGTTAATACGATACTCAAGTACGTCTGACTCAAAATTTATACAAAAAAAGAATCACACATGAAGCCGCTAAGAATAACAAGTTCAAGTTCATACTTTATTTGTGCCTTGACGTAGTTGGATTTTCTTGAAAATTTTATTCGAGTGTTTTCCTTTAAGAGTCACATTTCCACAAAAAGCCACAAAAATATCTTTGCTATTGCTGTTTGTACCACTGAATTCTTTATTTGCGTAAACTTACTGAGCGTGGGCTAAGTCATTCAAGTGATTGTTTTTGGTTGCAAATAAGAAAGCGGGCGGTTATTGTATCTTATGAAAAAACTCTAAAACAACAATTTAAGTAAATACAGCATCATCGGGTGAATAATGAATGAGCAAAGGCAGAGTCGATCGGAGACGGACGTCACACTAGTTTCACTAATCATGGCACAAATTGTCGTTTGACCTTACGATGCAATCTTTGATCAGAAAATACATAGCTGGACTTGATACATGAATATATCTAGAGTAATTCTGAGTAGATAATAGCCTACTTAACTTCAATAGCCCTCAGAAATAGCAGAAATAGCCCACAGCAGCGCAGTGAAAACTATTTTTGGAAAAATTTTTGGTCGCAAAAAGCACTGAAATTGACATTTACGTCATTATACTCTGGGCTTGAAGATTTTCAGAACATTTGCTACATCCGTACATGACTTAAAATCCTATTTTAATCCTTTTCATCCATTTAGTGCTGGCATATCCATCGTTGGATGACGCGAGGCAAGACGTTGATCCGGCATACATGGATTCATGGCAGGACGCTGTAAGTGCATCTTCATCCCTCTCTAGTTAATAAATCTAAACTAAAACTTGATATATCCATTCTGCAAGGAAAATTCTACAATTCTAGCCTGTATTCCGCGGACCGTACCAGAAACGATGGGCTAATCAAGTACGATTCGGGAAACGAGCAAGTTGGGCATCGTCAGTTCGGTTTGGCTAAATCGCAAATCACTGTCACGCTGCCCTACCTTCACTAAAGAATCATATTATTCATAGAATGTCCGCTGTAGAAATGTTTTTGCAAATCAATTTGACGCTCTTGATCTCGCGAATTGATCTGACTTTGCTTACTTGCTGTGTTCCTAGTGACTGTTGCCAGAATAAACTACGCCTTTGTTGTTTTTTCTTCTCGTTATCGACGATTCGGCAATGAATTCTAGACGCACAAGGACAATTACGTCTTCTTTTTTCTTTCAGGAAATTTACACCCACGTCAGATCGAAATCTTTGTTTGTAATTCCGAGATAGGAGTTATACATAAAATCGTGCTACGCAGCAGTTCAGCCACACACAAACATTTCAGCTTTGCTCAAAATAATAAGCAACTTGATACAAAATTGAGTAGAAAACAGCAGATCAGTCGATAAGTCAAACGAGTAGCAACACATCAAGAAGGAGAAAAAAATTGACCCGGACAGAAATTGTAACTTTTGATACATTTACAGTCAGACACCACCAATTCTGTATGAAGTGAGCATATTCTGACGGCAAACAAACATTAAAGTACGCTAAGTAGTAGTTGATTATGACAAAAAATATAGCAACTAACTAATCATGCGTAGGGTATTTCAGCACCAGTGTGAAGAAAGGCTGGAAGACATATATAGTAGTCAATATGACATCGAAGCGAACACAATACAAGAGAACAACACAGTACACTGTGACCTTTGGCAGTAGAAATAGGGGGGGGGGGTGGAAAGGTGGAAAATCGTGGTAAAACGTTAAATCAAATCACAAAAAAGAAACCGCCAACTGCCTTTAAGCAGCCAATGACTACCCATACGAGTTAAAGTGAATAATTTGAAGATTATGATAATTCTATATACAGCACTCAATAATGGAGATTTTTGATGTTAGCGATTTATAAGTTGCAGTATTTGGCGGAAGGTGACCTCAAATTGAGGAAGGATATGTGATTCTGCAAAATCGGGATTACTTGACGATCCAGAAGCACACGTTCTCAGCTGGCGCACAAACACTTCGAGCCGATTCAGCAGCTCACTAAAAGCGTAAACATTTTAGACTATTTTACGTGGAAAGAAAAAAAAATGCTTTAACTAACCGATATCTGAACTTGCTATGCGGGGTGATTTGTTCGGCATAGATGGCACAAGTAGTGTGAAATTGCTGCATAACATCGCTAAGTCGAATAAGCATTGCTAGCCGAGAGTCGGTACGAGAAGTTTGCGTCATTCTGCCGACCCTTTCGTTGCGAAGATCTTGCATACATTCTTCTAATGTCCTATACAGCGACAATAGTGACTCCTGAACAAAGTTTAAATTTTAAAAAATCTACGAAAGCAACAGAAAAAATAACAGATTTGATCAACTAACAGATTTGTATACCTGATTAGGAGGCCTAAACCAAGCCACTGCTCCAGCGGCAATCTTTATACAAATCATTTACAACCAAAAAATGCGAGCCTGAACTCCAGCTCAGACCGGGTGTACGTTAATAAACGCGATTTTTAATGCCAGATGTACACCAATTAGAGCATTTTTGACAGTAACGTTATAAAAGATCTTTTGATTTCTGATTAGATATGCAAGATCGGCGCCAGCGCTGTTTAACGTTTTATCTTGAAGTAAATACAAAACGTGAATGCTGGAGGTCAAAAAACCAGCGAAAATGCAACTGATTGCAATTTTAACCAATTTTTCATAAAAAGCCGTTAAACTTGGCAACAACTGGTAGCTAAAAAGCTAGAGCAGTTTGTATTGTATTTTTAAATCGCTAGCTCTAAACTGGGCTGTTGTATTGGTGACCTCTGGAAAAATCGCGCCTCTTGTCCGTCGATCAGATCGTACTCCTGTTACCGTAAACGAGGCTGATTGGTCCGCTTGAGAAGTTTACAGTATGGGCTGGGATAGAGCTCTGTTTTCGCCATAAATAAATTACATAAGCTGTCAATTGGTCAATGGCTCAAATGAGGCCTCCAAACAATTTCCACAAAAAAAAAACCTATGCACTTAGATTGCCTGAACCTTCAAAAACCAAGTAACACATACCTTGCTAACACTTTGCTGTTCACAATTCGATAACGGTGTAGCCACAACATCATCCGGACTGCTACTGGGGCTTGTTTCCGATGTTACAGATGAAGAATGTGGTTTAGATTCCAATAAGGAGAATCGCTTATTTGCCGCATTGGCAACAAGTCCACCGCGCACTGAGACAGCCGCTGAAATGGCAAAGAATACGCTAACGAGTAGTGCAATCAACGACTAAACTACAAACAGGAAGTGAAGAAAGAGATCCACTAGAAACTCCAAGCGTAAGTTTAAGCATTTGTTTGTCACAGCTATAGACTTTTTCAGAAGCTCTTTAATGAGCCATACTGACTAAAACTTGAAATTCCTGTAATTTGGTTTAAAAATGACCTCAACTTAGTTCAAAAACGTCATTGTAAAATTCAAATTCTCCTCTTGTTTCTATTATTAACTTCTCCTTTCAAAATACTACAAGAAAATGAACACCCATGAAAAACAAACTACGTACTCTTCGCCGGGGCCGCAGTAAGCTTCTCAAATTTCGTCGTGATATCTCTCAGCGATTGGGTACGCACCATACCCGTGTCAAGCTCTTCGTTAGTAGAAGGAACACGATCTTTTGATGTTATTTCCCTAAGCTGTAATAAAGGCATATGCCTAACGGATAGAGCTATACATACTCATTTCTGAAGTATATGTAGGATGCAGCGAATGCAATTACCTTTGGCCGTTGAAGTGTACTGAATGGACGGGGTTCCGTATCCGATCCACCATTACGCTTTTCTACATGCTTCATATTGACCGCTAACGTAGAGGCCGAAGAATCAGATTCGTCGGACGATGCTTGAACAGAGAAAGGACGGTGATGTTGCAGTGGAGCTACCTAAAATAGTTATTTCAGCAAGGATTTTCATATGAGATACGATGAATTTGTAAAATTCAGAATTCAAAAGTTCAGAGAGAAAGCACGAATCAGGAAAAAATCTGAAGAAGTATATTCTTATCCATTTAGTACCCCATGAGCAACCATAAAGTTACACTATATAAAGAACACATAAAACCAATCTGAAAAATGAAAGTTTTCAAAGTTAGAATTCAGAAATGAAAATGACTTAAAATGAGGGGAAAAATGAATATCAGCATAGTAAATGTAATTTCAAAAAATCATGTAGCTCTTACTTGAACTTATCTACTTATCTCACCTTTTGAGTGATAAGTTGCCGAACTCGAGCAACTTCAGGAACTGATGCCGATGAAGTTGAAGCCGTTTCATCAGGGGAATTTCCAAGAACATCAAGAGTAGCTTTTTCATCAGGCTTTTCAACATGACGTAAGGTACGAATTCTGGCCTTCAGTTCACCTTCAACCATTTCGTCGCCTTTCCCTTCGCGCTAAATAATGCGAATTACACTAACCGAATGTATCAGAAGATTTAGGCATGCGTGCAAGTTCAGGAAAAATAGAACAGAAGCAGGCGAGCAGTATAGTTAGAGAGAGTGAAATGACATGCATTCATACAGTACTTATGCTTATCAATCAAGGGCTCTCCAGGAAACTGGGTACCTGGACTCAAAATACGATTTGCGGTCTTGGCCAAGTTACTGCCCAGGCAACATCTTATACAATTTTCAGCAGAGATTTCGCTTGCAAAGCCTCGCCCAGATAACACACTTTGACCAATGTACCATACACAATAGCGCTCATTGGTCTTTTCAGAGGTAGTATATTTGAGATCCAAGAGTTTTATTCAGATTTTTTGGCCATGAAATTTTTATGAGCAGCGTTTGGGCAATAACTCAGCCAGAACACCCATTCAGTTTGCACATAAGAGCTCCAGGTACTCAAGTCAAATGTGAAGTTGTTCTGTTAGTACAGCCGTTCTTCATCTGCATCGACATATTGGCACAGTCGCATACAAAGGTGTTTGAATTTCTCTAACTCATACCCTCGGCAAAAAACTAATCATTGATGATCGTTTTGGTTTCCATCCTGTAGTTTGCGGATCCGTTTGACAAAAACCGTCCGCCTAGCAAACATAGTACACATTGAACATGCACGAAAACATAAAGCGAACATAAGAATTGCGACAGGTGAAGTCAAAAGCGATAGTGAAGCTGAACTACTCTAAGCAGAAGCAATATTCCTACCTTTTCCACTTTCTTCCTCGCGTGATCTGACTTGGAAACTACCGGTGCAGGACCGACACTAGCACGAGTAGGAGGATCGGGAGCAGGTCTTGTCACTACTACTTTGCGATCGGTACGCGATACAGAGGACTCAGGTGGACTGCTATTGAACGGAAGCGATTCAGGTGACACAGGAGATTCAGATGCTGTCTTTTTTAGACGTGACTTTAACTGCACTAACACCTGCAATGGGTGATGGACTCGACACAGACAGCGGTTAAGCAAAAATTTAGAGATACCTGGCTCTTTCCTTCCATTGAGTCGGGGATAGGAAGCTCATCCAAAGAGTCGTCGGAAAGTGCATGGCTCATGCTGGAAGATTCACCATCTCCAGCATCGGACATATCTAAAATGGAGCAAGCAGTAAATATAAGATAAGATATTAACAATTAGACAACGAATTTTGCGTCAAAGATTCAGCGTAATACACTATGAATTTGCTATTAGGATGGAGCATAAGTTTTGCACCAAAAATTTTGGTATCCATATATTCAACCAGATTAAATGATCCCATTGGACACAATACAACTATGCGCTTTCTAGCGTTATTCAAAGAAAAATCGTTGTCGTTAATTGCAGAAGGTCCGACAACGTCCATTTTACTTCTGGCTTGTTTTATGACCTAGCTTTCTGACTAATGTGAGGCAAACTCGTACTCGGATGGCTCCACGAAAAAATGTAATTTTTAGATTTCTTTCTCGAATCCTGATTTTGTCCAGACCAAAATTTCTATCGATAAGTTACTATATATGTTGAACAAAAATACCACAAAGATTTGAACGGTTATCACAATACTTTCAAATAATTTTTCCTCGGGTTAGCGCAAGACTCATGTTTCACAAACTAATATTAGGTTGTCCCAAAAGCAAACCGTAGTAAATGAAAACAATTATTTTTGTTCCAGCAGACTTGGGGTACATTCGATATAGCACAACAATCTCTACAAAACGATCACCAAGGATAAGTTGTAACCAAGTAAAGTTTGGAACCGAAATCGAGATAGACTTTGCCATCTGAAAATTGAATTTTGCGAAATAGATTACTATGAAGCTCCAAATGATCGTCAAACCGAGGATATACAGAAGTATCCCTGAATGCATTCGCTGAATTTTCTTCGCGCATAGATATCGGATAAAAATTTTGAAAATGGCAATCTCCGCCCCCCGCTCCTTGTCTACTGCAAGTCTTAAAAAGTATAATCTTGAGTTCATATTGCTATATGTGCTCTTATAATCGAGAAATACCAAGTTTAACATAAAAAACCGAACAAGTGGCATTTCGGTCTTTTGGAACCATGTTTTTTTTTTCCTGATTTTGAGCCGCGGAAAAAGTCCTGTAGATGTAATTATCAGTACTGCTATGATACTGTATGATGACCAATTCGGAGGCCCGTAGATACTTTCTAAACGGGACCCGATTTATTGGATTTCTTAAAATTCAGGTTTTTATCTTCAATCTTTACATGGATCACGACTTGGATGGATCTTTGGTGTTCAATATGTAGAGCTTGCTTTAGTTTGGTATACTTTTGGGACAACCTAATACAACACGAAGAATCATGGTATTCTCTCCAATTACAATAATATTTTTCAGTTTCACAAAATAAGACCAGTTTGCCTATGACCTATTGCCGCATGAAGGCGGCTGTCGATATAAGCTAAGCGGTGTGTGGACAGCTACCATCATCTTACCGCCCGCTATGATTCGCAATGATGCCAAAAACTCGTGCTTTGTTTTTATTGTCTGACCACCTTCGTCCGGAAATGGACTGCAAAATCTACCTGGCTGATCCCTCTTCATGGACTCCAAGTACGCATCGATGCGATCTGTTTTTGGCAGTGTACCAAAGCGACTGATCACTTTGCGAAGATTCTTTTCCGCTAGTGGAGAGACCAACACCTCTTCTGCAAGATAATAATATAGAAAATAATGGTGATCCTAAAAATCAGGTAGTTTACCATTTGCCTGCCCTCGATCCACAGATTGACTCGCATTGTTCAATGCAGTCTTCAATAGCTTTGGCTTAGATGATTGCGGTGGAGTGGGCAGCGGTAAGTGACGTGGAATGGGTCTGAGTGGATCGTTGACAGGTTCTCGGAATGACGAAAGCTGAAAAGAGCAGAGGCATACTAGACTAACAGCAGAACGGCCTAAATCCCATACCGATGGCTGAGCCTGGTCCTGCAGCGACGCTTCATGATGTGATGTTCGCACTGGAGGTGGCGGGAAAACTTCGCCGGAACCCCGCTGCGGTGCGGCAGCTCCACTGAACGAACGCCGATTGTTAGTGTCTTGGAATCGGACAGCTGACACAGGAACAACATCACTGCGTCGGGAACGACGTTGTGAAGTGAGGCGTGATTTTTCAAGCTGTCTGTCCACCTGGAGAGGATGTGAATGAGATACGGAAGCTAGTCTAAGTGTTCGGCGGAAGTAACCTCTTCGTCGATGTTGGAATGTGGGAACAGAGATTCTAGGCTGGCATGGATATCACGAAATCGTGGTCGATCGCTTGGCGACCAAATCCAGCTAGAAATGTTCTTTTATGAAAGGAAACTAGCTTTATAAAGAAGAATCGAATCATACCATTGCAGCATCAAGCGATAGACACTCGGTGGACATCCAGGAGGTGAATCCATACGAAATCCTTTTTCCAGTAAAGAATAGACATTCGATAAATCAACTCCAGGATAAGGTGCCATTCCATAGGTGGCAATTTCCCACAATAACACCCCAAATGCCCAGACCTGAATGATTAAGTGCATAGATGCATAATCACTACTAAAAAGCCTTTACTTACGTCACTTTTTGTGCTAAACGTGTTGAACGCAAGCCCTTCGGGAGCCGTCCATTTGATGGGGAATTTGGCGCCAGCATGTGCCGTATATGTGTCTTCCCTCATAAATCGAGCCAAACCAAAGTCAGCTACTTTTACAACATTTTCACTGCCAACAAGACAATTACGTGCTGCGAGATCTCTATAACATTATAAATAACGTCTTTACCCCTGAGAAAGCAAATCCACCCACCTATGTATGAAGTTTCTAGATTCCAAATAAGCCATTGCTGATGCAATTTGGGTAGCCATATACATCAGTACTGTAGGCGGCAATTTAGACCGATCAGACTTTCTGGAACAAAAAAAATACGTAAGAGACGCTCGACGAGAAATAGATTAACCAACCTTAAATATTCTAACAAATTTCCATTGCACATATATTCAGTAATGATGTAAAAGGGAGCTTCCCGAGTGCATACCCCTAACAGCTGGACAAGATTCTTATGGTGTAGATCTTTCATTATGGCTGCCTCTGCCAAGAAGTCGTGCAATGCCATGGCGTCTTCCTATAACAATTAAAATAAAACACTAAAACAAAATATTAAGAAGCAATTTTATAGCTAAAGTAACCTTGAGAGTCTTAACAGCAACGGTCCTTTCATGGCGTTTCCAGTATCCTTCGTATACATCCCCATACTGACCACCACCTAAATAATTCACATTTATGGAAATCTCAAAACACATAGTAGATATAGATTTCAGAAACTCTCAACGAAATTTTTAAACTTCCAAAAATACTAAAACTTTCATAACAAAGGCAAAGTTATCAGATAGATGATCATAGGATCATAGGATCATTCATGTCCAGTACGTTAAATGAAACTCAGCTGGTCATAGCCTTTGTTACTTACGATTACTCAAAAAATTACACTGATATAACCAAAAGAGATATTTTACTTTGATATTTGATAATGATTGATGTATTAGGTTGTGTAATAAGTTCTGTCCCATTTTTTCTTTGGATTTTTTCTCAATATTTTGCGCGATGCTATATAAATTGTCCATATGCATTTGAAAGCTCTAAGCCTTCTCTACAAGAACTTTCATTTCGATTCACTACATCGTATGACTTGAAAAAGTTTTACAGCGTTAAATTTGGAAAATCAAAGAGGGAAAAAGTCCATTTTCGACAACTGCGTTACGTCGCCTTCCTAATTAGTCAGAATACCTACGAATAAGCTCGAAGAATTTGCTACACGTAAGAAAAGAATGCTCTAGCTTCTATTGCGCTTCAGGAGTGCTGAAACTCTTTAAAAATCATTTCTGTAGGCTTTAGAAAAGTCCTCTTTCTGACGCCTTTTCAACGTTTGTGTTGGGCGTCATCTGAAGGCATCTTGAGGGAAGACGGTAGGCGGATCATCCAGAAGAGACAGAAGGGATGGTTTGTGGGTTTACTCAAATTCCGAATTTTGGGAGCCAGACAGCTTGGGTAAGCGAGCCGGCGAACATCGCCGTGACATAGTCTTGTCTTGCCGACTTTCAAAAAAATGTCATTAAATAGCCGGTGGAAGGAAGGGAACATGTGCGAACAGTGATAGAATAAGGGTAAAAGCCTAATAGATTGTCTTCGTTGTTGTCAAACTTGTTTAATAAGTTTTATCAATAAAAATCGAGAAAAATTTAGAGGAAAAAAGATGTCGAAAATTGGTTTTTCGGCTCTTTGGATTTTTTTGTTTCAATGATAAAAATCTTTTTCATTTTCCTGCTATTTTGGAGAATGTGCATATGAGCCTGCAGAGCAGACCTGGAGCTTTCAAAAGCATATACACTTCGTCTCAAATATAGTCAATGTTGTCAAGAAAAAATTAAAACAAAAAATGGGACAGAACTTATTACAAGACCTAATATATCGTTATACATTACAGTAACATCTGTCGAGCTGAACAAAGATCAGATAAAAGGTCGGCAAAAACTCCTGTCTTACAATTTTAAGAGGGTGGAGTGATGCTTGACAAGATATCTCTGATCTTACTAAATCTGCTAACGTTGTTAAATTGTCCTTTTAGCAGCTGGAAGTCCCGAAACAATTTCCAAAATAATCATACCTAATTTATTATGCATAACGATTTCTGTTCGTTCAACCTCCCATTCGTCCGGCTGTGTCGGACTCAACGAAAACACACAAGGAGGCCTTTCTTTCTTTGGAGCAGGAAAAAGCAGATTACCTAAATTTCGATAATTCAGATTCGCAAACAAATTTTCTTTACAAATACAGGGTAAACTTACAAATTAATCCATCCGCCTGGACACTATGATGATGTACAAGTTCGCCCAATGTTTTGAACTTGGCATCTTGGGTGATATACAACTAAACTTGGACAACTAATTACAAAAAACAAATGACTAAAAACAATAAGCTACCCTATCATTAGCGTCCACATTGATCCTATAGTGGTAAACCCGACCGTCGTTGCGTACAGAGATAGAGTACTGACCGATACTCGTCTCCGATTCACGAACAAGGAAAGACCCGTTTATTCCGCTACCCAGGATATACTCAGATTCACTTCGAGATACTTTTCCGTGGTACCTAAAATAAGGCAAATCGTGACTAAGGTCTCATGCTCAAGAAGATTGTTCGGTGATAAATTGTATCTTAAAAAAAACGCAAAAAAACGTTCTTGGACCATGCGGTTTAGCACTGATACAATGTTTCGGCGTATATTATTGAGCCCTCAAAACCTATGTCCTCAACGTAGCAAAAAATATTTCGCTTCAGATTCATCCCGGATAACTGAACATACAGAAACCATACAGATCAAAAAAGGGATAAAAACGCAATGTTTTCCACAAAGGATACCACGTCAATCTCTTCTCCCATCTGGAGACTAAGAATTCTTCTCATAAGGCCTAACTTTGGATGACTACTCATTCCAAATTTCACGAGTGACATATTCTGGAATCCAATCCACAAACTATGTAAGACGAAGACCCGCAAATAATAAATTTCGAGAAAATTATCTGTTTCCTAACCAAAGCAAAAAAATCAAAATCGGACGAAATCTTAAAAAAACTATTCAACAAAAAGGTTTCTGGCTCAAATTCATTACTCTTTTGAGAAAAACAGAGTGTACATAGAACCTTACAGAATATTAAGCACTCAATACTGAACCTCGTTTGCTGAAAAAAAAAACTGCACATACTTCGAAAAAAGAATGTCAATGGGGAGTGATTGCGTGAACAAGAAAAATTCCACAGTTTTATTCTTGCATTCTTGGCTACAGAACCGATAGAGTTATGTCAAAAAAGCTTTACACGGAATAAACTTCTGAGACTCTGATTCACCACTATCTATTTCGATAAAAGGTGACGGTTGATCCGGCTTTTCGGACAGTGCTAGCCCTCGAGTGCAAGAAAAAATGAGCGCATTTATCAAAATTATTGAACAAATAACTCAAATTTGTCCGTATAATGACGACGCAGTTTTACGCTCGATTATGAAGCTGTAACTCACCAACTATGTTTATCAAGCGAATTGACGGGAGCAATATAGCTACTTGGCACCCAGCCAATTTGTCCAATTCGTTTCTGACTAGCTAAATCCGATCGTCGAGTTGCTGCTAATCGTGCTTCACACCACTCTCCCGCTTTGTTATAACCAATCACTCGGACCTAAAAAGGGCATAATAAGGAAGTTTTTACTCTCGAATTTAGTAATGGGTTTGTTGTAGCTCGAGCAGAGACTCGTTTCACACCCAATCTATCATCCCCAACACATGATCCCTCATCTAGATATACTTGTCAGCTATTCAGCGTAGGCCAAACAAACGGTGAAGGAGTAAATATGCCAATCAGTGGTTGCCAGCACCGTGTGTTACTGATAAGACGTAAGATTTCGTACGCCATACGCTTTATAACAAAATGACGATTTCACCTTTGTACTGATTTGTTTTCGACAAAGAACTTTGAGTTTAAAAGAACTGACCATATCGCCTTTACGGATAGATAACTGTTCCTCGCCTACACCATGGAAATCATAGAGAGTAATGAATAAAGGCGATGTAGTATCATCGCCTCCTCCCATCGATGCAGAAAGTAGGTCCTCGCTAAAATCAAACAAAATGAAAAAAGCATACATTCTTACACACTTTCAATGGGAAAAAATGGGAAATAAATCTGAGCAAGTACCAGAAAATGATACTGTTCATCATCACAATGAAATAAAAGCTATTTTGTTTCAACAACGAAATGTATGTATATTTATAAAGAGAGCGCTAGTGACGTCAGGAATAACGTTACGATTACAGAGGCATAAAATCGAGCTGACCAAACTAGAAGGTTCGGTCAAATGTTTGCATACGAAATTCGATGAGCAAAGATAAGATCTTGCGTTGTGGGAAGGCTTAACCATGTTCGTTTTGGAAAATTTTGCTAGCTATGCTTAACGAATTCTTTACAAGGCTTTGCAATACCCAAAAAGACAGAAAATTTACTATAACGCATTTTTCGGGGGATAAGTGCGAACTTCTAGCGCATATGTAGCTAACAAGGGATCCATGTTTCATCGAAGTGGCTTTTTGGATGAGATGTATACCATATTGGAGAGCATAAAACGCTGGTTCCAAATCTGCGTTCTTTATCGGCGGAATGTTTATGGAAGAGGAGTTATGAGCTTTTATTTGAACAAAAAATTACATGTGCAAATATAACAAAAATTGTCGTAGTATTTTTTCTAGCGCTTTAGTATAGCAGTTAATAATCAGAGCAACTTATTCAATGGATACTCTCAGATAAAAAAAATATGTTACATTTGGTTGCTTTTTTTAAGGGCTAGGAAGAGCTCAGCAGCTCATTTTACCCTGAATTTACAATAATTATTTGCTCCGACAAACGCTCATAACTCCTGGTCCAAATGTTCCGCAGATAAAGAAACAGATTCAGAATCAGCATTTTATGTCCCCAGTAAAGTACACATCCCATCTAAAAAGACCACTTCGACTAAACATGGTTCCCTTGTAAGCAGCTTGGTTGTAGAGTAACTAAAGCCATTCTCCACTAGAAAGAGCCAAAAAACTTACTAAAGTGCCCAGACAAGTTCAGAAGGCATGTTGGAAGAGATGTGGTGGGCTGAACCCCCACGTTCTAGCAGTAGAATAGGCGCTTTTGTGTCAAACAGATTTAGCCCTTACACTCAAACAGCAAGCGACAAACTGTCTATAGATTATCTCATATGAAGTCCCGCTTTACACTGTCGGCGCAATCGTTAAGTGATTGTCAAAAACGCCACCAATAAAACAGGTGGTCCCCAAGGAGATGAATAAATATGCCAACTGAATGATTGATATCAAAACTTAAGAAAAACAGCGTGTAAGAAATATGCGGATGATGAGATAATGCAAGAGGGAGATTTAGGCATAGTTCGACCAGAGAAGAGAGAAGGTTTTCTGGCATTACAGTCAAGAAACAGAGGACTCTATGAAAACCTTGGCAAACGCATAAAATTTTAACGTAGCATCATGAACAAGAAACAAAAGAAAAGAAAAGTCGAAACAATAAGCATAGTTGTGAGATACATAATTTTAGACTAAAATTTGAGCAGAATTACAGGCAGAAATAATTTCATCTGTGATGCTCCGTATAACGTCTTTAGACGTACAAAATCAACAACCACTAGTTCAAGAATTCTCTCTCCTCCTATAAGTTGCTCGGCCTATTCGTGATATGGTATAAAAACGGCCAAATGCAAACAATTCTGTCTGGACGGCAATGACAGACTTCTGCACAAGACCAAAAATGAAAGATTATGCACCGCAGACAACGTGAACAGAGCATAATCAGTGGAATCGATAACTGTAAGATCAGTGACGATATGAATTTCCGCTATTCTTTTTCATGATTCGACAGACGAAATCAATCGTTTCCGATTACTTTTCTCATTTGCATTTCTCTTTTATTCAAAACAAGCTACGTCACTAAAAAACGCATGATCTAGCAAATATAAATTTTAGAGGAATGCATAGTGTGCATAAGGCACACTCTATGAAAACGCATTGATGTCGTGCTGAGTAGAGAATTATTAGAAGTGGGCATGCTTTCAAACTGGAAACCTATGTCATTGCTTGGAGCAAAATTCTTCTCAGCGAGAGCCACAAGGCAAACAGGAAGACTCGCTTTTTCACTAGCAAAACTTGTATCTTATTAACAGGGAGGGATGTCTAAAATGACATCTATACATACTTGTAAAGGCGACTGTTAAAAAGCAAAACTACCAGACAACCCAAGTGCTTCGTACGGAGCGCGGATGGCCAGACAAGTCAGGATCAAAAAACGATGTCGCGAAATGTGATTTCGTATGTTCAAGGTCTCATATTCCCAGTTGTCTTTTCAAACAATCATAGAAGAAAGAAAGTGCCAGCCCGTTCTCGGAAATGAATTGACACTAAATGAACTGGAAAAGATCTCGACACTAGGCGACAAACGATATCCCTATCAGGGCTCGGCACAGCGTGGCTTGTAAGCAAGCTGGATATCGTTTTTGGGACAAAAAGCAAAGAGGGTTTCGTTTTTGAGACCGAAAAGAGACAAAAACTGCGCGTTTTTTTAGTCGACGTTTCGTTTTTTGGGGATTTTTAAGGGTTATGGTAGGTCAAAGGAGACTTCGTAAAATTCGCAAAGGTCAAGGGGGACTTCGTTTTTTGCATTTTCAACTATCCACCTCGTGCCGAGCGCTGGTTCCTATCCTACTATCCCACTATTTGAGGTTACAATGATTAAATGTCACTGTTTAATTCTCAAAAAAACACTTGGTTTTTCTCTCGCAGGCCAAGGCACCAACTGAATGGACTTATAGATTTACAGTAAGGGCTACTGCTTTTCATTACTACAAAACTGAACCAAAAGCGTAATGCCGTTGCCGAAAAAATGCGCAAGATAGTTTTTAGAATTTCGAAAAAGCCCAATTCGTTTACTAAATCAATCAGAATAGCTGTTTTGAGTGCAAAATTTGCATCATACGGTAATTTTTTTCAAAAGTACACAGTTATATCGTGACAGCTGTTTCCTCGATCTTCCTCCAAACACAATACATATATCATTTGAACGGGATTACAGTAATTAATTGTCAGCGTGTTCGTTTATCCTGTAACAAGAGTTTACATCAAAAATTTCCTGTCTCTCGCTAGATCATCACGACGTTGAAGTGTCGACCCATTACTCTACCTGAAACTGCACTTTCGTTTCTTGCAAATAATCAAAATCATGGCGGTAGAAAGCTGAGTCGAAAAACCACGGAGACGAGTGGGAATAATTTTGGCATTTATCAACTAAGTTACAAAGCTCATGGTAGAAACAAAATGAAAATGGTGATCAATACACCGAAAATGAAAAGTGGAAAATTGGTAGACAAAGTACTGAGTCCTCCCCTTGTGATTTGCGCGATAAGAAAAAAGACGACCAGCTGCTTGGTCAAGATGAATAGAGACGATATTTTCACACAAATCCATCACCATAACAAAAAGAAGAATTGTTTGAATATTTCCGTTTGCATGTTAACCATGTGTTCGCTTTCATATTGTACTTTTGAAAGGGAACATAAGCTTTTGCAAATGTGTACATGATTACAGGCATTTCTGTAATGCATGTATTTTTCGGGCAATGACATCATTGAAAGCTTTCAGTCAACAAACTGGCACTTTAGGACGTCTCTATTCCGATGCCATTGCTACTTTTCGCATGAGTGATGGTGAGAAAAATACAAGAGAAAATTCTAGAAGACAAAAGGAGGAGAATAATGGAAGAGGCTGAGAGAACGAACACCACCCACCGAAAGCTTTGAGATGAGATTCTTGCAGATGGAGTTTTGAACGGTACTTCCGCATGCAATCGTTAAACTTCATGGCTTCAAAAAAAAGCACTAGCCCTCAACTTGTCATACTCAGCAACAAGTATATGTTCTGCATTCACCCATGGATAGAATAATTTGCAGAAATTCACTTCAAGTCGAAACTTTTCATCAAAAAGACAGCAACAATAAGAAACATATGGCCGATGTATAGCGGCAATGACAACGGAATGAAACCAGTTTTCTCAAGACTATCATAGTCAAGGTTGTGACGATGTTTGACGAATGGTAAAAAATGTGACGTTCAGAATTCTTGACCAGACTGACACCAAAAACTTTCTGACGCAAAATGTTCCACAGGAAAATCGCGTGAGGTAGCTCTCTCATCAAAAATGTCAAGGTTTTTGAGAGCTTTGTGGCCAACTTGTCGGGAAAGATGACAAGTAAATTTTGCACATACATAACAAGATGAGTCAGGACTAATACGAGTTCTAAAAGTTTTTGAACGTCTAAATAAGAATTCTAAAGAATAATTCAGCGATAAAAGCCATAGGTCAAAGCTTCCGCGATCATGAGCACCTATGTTCAAGAAATGAATCTTCCTATGATGGAGAGATTTAGTTTAAGAACAAAGCTGCTGTAAAGAAGACTAAAAAAAGCGTGAACTATGTTCAAAGTACTTCCTTATTGTTGTATCCGATTTCAAAACAGGTATAAAAAAGTGAACATTACACATTGTGATTTGCCCCACTCTACAAAGCTACAGCGGCAATAGTCATATTCGTTTTGTTTATTCAGTAGAAAATGAAGTACGGTACTACTGTCAGGGCTCGTCACAGGTGGCTTGTATGCAAGCAGGATTTCGTTTTTGGGACAAAAAACAAAGGGGATGTCGTTCTTGAGGCCGAAAAGACACAAAAATTGAGATTTTTTTCAGTAGACGTTTCGTTTTCTGTTGTTTTTTACGTTTAGGGTTTGGGGTCAAAGGGGACTTCGTAAAATGTTGCGAAAGTCAAGGGGGACTTTTCGCATTTTCGGAAAGCTACCTTGTGCCGAGCCCTGGCTACTATCTCCTTTAAACTCCAGTAATTATGAGCAATGTAAGAAAATTCGGAAAATTGTTGGAAAAGCAGATTGTAAAATTTGAAAAAAACGTGCAGCAAAAAAAACAAGACAAAAGAAAGAAAACCAAAACTTTCCCAAAAGAGTGGGTTATAAATCACAAAAACTAGAGAGCAAACACTCACCGACTGCTCCACGACGAGCTTTCGCGTTGGTGCAGTGCGCGAAACGTGTCCACGGACGACGGACGGCGTTCCATGCTGTCACTATCGTGAACGTTCGCAATTGCGGCTACCGATTCAGCCCAATCCGCCGACTCAGTACATCCTGAAAACACCACTGATTGAGCATTGTAATATTTGTCGTAGACATTGTTTGTGCATGATGTTTGCGAGATTTGCCGAGGCTTAAATGGCTTTATGTTCCAGTGATGAAAGGGGATTACGATCGGATGTTTGTAGCCTGATGCGATCAGCGATTTGGCAACGCCTACACCCACAATTGCAGCCTTCCGCACGCTGACACCAAATGTATGGTGCGCATCTGAGCATGAATAATGCATGACTCAACGGGTGCTGCTAGCTGTGAGTTACCCGAATCAATGAAAGCGACACACACACAATTTCGGGCCTTGATGAGGTGGTGTATTGCGAAAGCCCCGTACATTCCAACTATTCCACAGCTTCATGATGGAAAATTGATGAGCAAGTTAAGAGCTGCAGAACGGCTCTAATATTGATACTGTAGCAAAAAAGTGTTCTCGAAGTGTTGCTGAACTGTGCAGATCCTAGCTATCAGTGCACTGGCATGGAATATGCCAATAAATTTCGATGATGAGGTATGGCGGATCACTTCTTCCCTTTGGGTGCAAAGACAGTTGCAAGGCGCGAATTCTTCTTGCACGACATGAGAACGGTAAACGGGAACTACGAAAATTTTCATCCAATTCTTCTTTTTTTGGCGTTACGTGGAAATGTTAGCTGTCATTTGGACATCAACTGGAAAATTCTATAGACTTTTGGAAAACTGAGCAAAACATTAAGAATTTCGCTACTGAGTTCATTTTCAAATTCTTCTTATACTGTTGTCTTAGAATGAGTTTAGTTCGCTCCAATTAAATCCGAAGATTTATGGTTTTTCACTAACCTGGTCATTCACAGAACTTTAGAGCCTCAAAAACTTGTTTTTGAGACGCTCAAATGCTAAGCTGTAATCCGCGTCTTACGACATACATTAATTCTAGTGTACATCGGATTTGAGCTCCCAGAATGTTGTTGGAATTTTTTCAGGATAAGAAGAAAGTGCAACGATATCCGCCAACCTAACAACACAAGCAAATAAAAAACAAGCCCTTTTTTCTTATCATCAGAACTTTAGATAGACGCAAGACAGATTGTTCGAACCAGCAATGAGCCTGTAGCAATAGCAATAAAATAGCAACTTCTCAGTCTAAATAATATTGCAAGTCGATAATTGAGTGGAACATTGTGACAGATGTAAGGTGATCAATCAAGCTGTCCACAAAGTGTTGGAAAGTCAAAATGACGTAGATGTTAAGCTCAAGTTGCGTGCAGTGCTTCTTCCCTGATGTGGACAAAATTTGATGAGATTTGCCGCCGCCCACTGTTAGGAGTTTTTCAAAGGACAGCAGAATCAATTCGGGTGCATAAACTGATGAGAACTACGCTCGAAATACCTACATTCTCATACTTCCGTAGAGCATAGTTAACCTGTGATATTACGCAGTATTTAGGGGCAAAAGGCCTTTCGATATCCCAAGCGAAACAAGTGAAGCTCATCGCATAAGAGATGCAAACTGCTAAAAGTGCATTCGAATTCAGCGCTCACAATTTTAAAAAGAAACAAAATGTAAAAAGATCCATCATATCTGTCCAGTTGCAGTTTTACACAAAACTATGTGAAGCATTTTCATGATCACAACTTGCTGCTTTGCAGGCCTGCCACCTCTTGTCAGAGGGATGTAAAAGATCTCAAGCAAATGTACATCTTTTGAGGAATCATACAGTTTTCGTTAGAAATGTTGAAATTAAGATTTTCTTTTGATCTGGGCACCCATCTATGTGCGAAGAATTGGGAGATTACATGAGCAAAGACGATACAACTAAAAAGCTGACTTCCAACAAAATTTCGACACATAACGAAATTGATCTATAATCCTATAATAATTAATACTAAAAAAAGTAAATGGATATTCTAAGCACATTTTATTTTCAAGCATGAACACCAACGAACTGAATGTTCGAGGATGAATCTTCATATAAAAAGCGTTCAAGATTGTAAAATTGCATTTGGAGACTGACCATGAGGCATAAAGAGTTTTACCACCAAACAGGCATAGATATAGTAAGGGAACCTGCTCTATTGAATACTATGACGGGTATAAGAAGATCTAACTTGGTCACATGGATAAATACAAACAAGTAGCTCAGCGATAATAGATGTAAGAAGAATTAGGTTATAAAGAGTGTTGGTGATGATTTATAACTGTAGCTTCTTAACAGGGAAAGTCAAGCTTGAAATTGAAAATGCAAAATTTCTCGGAAAATATAAACTCCTGCATGCTAAATGTGATTCAGAAGTTGCAAGTAGATGAATCAGAATATCTAAAGGTGTTCAAAGTTCAGTCCAAAGTTATTTTAGGCAAAGGACAGAAATGCGTTTGTCACACGTTAAGTTGCGATTTATATGTACGAGTCTGATTTTCGAGGATCAGAGAGTTCTGTCTGATACCCTTGACCACAAATAGAAGTTACACAAATTTTTTTGAGTAGGGCTAGAAATAACGCCTTCTTTTCGGTTGAAAACTCGATGTCAGTGGAAGCCCTTGAGTCGTAAGCGCATGAGAAAAGAGGCTTGTGGCAAAAAGCCTCATACGTAAACAAACGTCAGAACAAAGCCGGAGAAAGGCGGTGAAAGGAATCAAGCCCTAATGCCACGGTGGCTGTTATGAATTGACAGCCAGGACACTTGTATTCATAAGACCAGGTACATGTTGAAATACTAAGAGGTCTTACAATGGCAGTGCCTAGTCTCTGTAGAGATTTAGCCTAAGCCGTTGGTGGATAATGCGAGCTAGGATAAAAGGGCAGCAGCATGTCGTGTTGGATGATTAAGTCGAACAGGGAAAGAGCAAAATTGGCTAAGACGTGGAAATGGGAATGCAAGACCGAATCGATGAAGAAGTGCGAGATGAAATTAGTACCGCCACGCTCAGCACTACATGTATGGACCGCTCGGTGAAAGCCTCGGCATCAATTCCATTATCGAAGGGTCGATGTCGCAGGTTTCAGTCTTCATTCGAGGTTTCACTTTACAGTTTGCAAAAACTTGTAAGCCAATTTTTGACACAAAGAGCAATTGACGCTTTCCAGAAAGTTCATCTCTAGGAAGACTTCCTACGAATTCAAAATATATGCAGGTTTTCAACTTCTCTCAGCGGGACACAGAGCGTTTGTAGAAAAATCAATCTTTTGATTTGATGCACTGAAAAAGGAGGTCCGTTTGGTCGAAGTGGCCTTTTCACATGAAATTGATACGACTATAAAAAGCATCGAACGCTGACTCCAAATCCATCTTTGTTATCTGCCGAGCGCCTTTGGACGTCAAGTTATGAACGTTTTTCGAGTTGAAAGTTTGAGCATAGCTACAACAAAATTCGTCAGATTATCAGAGCACTCTTTGAACAATACCTTCTGTCCAAAACACTCATACTCAACACTGCTCTATTAGAGCGCTGAAAAGATCGTAAAATTTGATTTTACTCAAATTATGCGTTCATTTTTAGCCCCAAGAAAATGTCCATGACTCGGCATGCAGGGGCGCTCGGCAAACAACAAAAGGATTTAGAATGATCGTTTGATGCTCTTCAAAGTGGTATAAGACTCATTTGGAAAGGCCACATCGACTAAACGGACCTACTTATACGAACAAAGCAGCGAAAATTACAAAAAAAAGGAAACGAAGCTCTAAAAACCGATATGCTGCAAAAATCGAAGATGCTCTTCTACAAGAATTAGCTGGAAAAGACAACTACTCAACCCACAATGCATATTTATCACAAAAGATCTTGATCGTAGGTGCGGCTAGGAGTAGACAAGGAAAGATGCGCCGACTTATTGCAATCAGCTCGACAAAAGCCTGTGGAACACAAAGTTTCAGAAGAAAAAGCTTTGTCTATGACATAATCAGAGACTTCGGTTTAGTCGTGATTTCCTGCAAATTAAAAAACAACTGATGAAAGCTGGATTTCGCACAGATCGAGAAAAGAGAGACTGAAATGGGCGATGCCTTTAGATGAGAAGTGAAAACAGCTCTTACAAAGATGGAAATGCGATGTAGTGAACTTCATGCCATTTGGAAATCGAAGAGGAAAGGAAAGTGCACTTCTGACATTCAAAATTATGCATGCATGAGTTTCGTACATAGGATAGAGCAATTGAACTTCACACCATCGCAAAGATACTTTATCGTATTCAAGTGAGGCTAGATACAAACCGTTGCTTGAACGATATATAAGCACAGCAATTCTACAACAGATTTGCAAGCAGCTGGAGCTGATGTGGAAAGCAAACATAGCACTTCTCCAGGCTTTTTCTTTGTCAACAGGTCTGACCAGCGCTGTTTAGCGATATCCGTCAGCTACGGCTGTCAAAAGGGAGAGATTGGATACCGCTCCGCATCCTCTCCACTAAGCTACATTTCTCATTCTTGGGCACACACTTCAGCGTACACTCAGCGCTACTCGACGCTTGGCGGAACATCTATTTGGCAACTTTGGCAAAAAATCAAGCAGTCAATGTATCGTCGGCAAGAAAGATGCGAAGTTCATACAAATATTGGAAAAAGAGGCAAGTTCAAATAGAAATCTACCATGAAATCCAAGAACTTGTTAGAGACACGCGACCGTGATAGAAGAGAAAGTCTGGAACGTGTCAGAAAATGAGGTCACTGATAAAAGGCTTTCTCACTTTTCTTGCGATTGCGCTGGGACCATTAATCATCAAACAAATGATCTCAGAGAATATTGGAAGCATGAACTATCAAAAATATGCAGTGGCAAAGAACTCCAAGACAACAATCGCAAGAATTGGACTGTTATAAAAAAATGAAACAATTTTCTACCAGTGGCAACTCCTCACATCCTCATGAGCTCAAAAAAAATTCACCGTCACAATTGCGCAAACAACACCGTGGAAGAATTCTAAAACTCTTGAAAATTTGCTCTAAGCGGCAAATTGCGTACAAATTCCGGTATACTTATCGTAAAAATTCCGACAAATCGTCATAGAACTTGCCACACAACACATTAGCCCAGAATTCCAGTCATATGATCAAACAAAAACAATGTTTGGGCATTCTCGCAAAGTAGCCCAAGCGGCGCATACTCCATTATCAAAACTGGATGGAGCATTCGAAAGAGAACAATTTCTAGCGACTCTCCGTGTGTGTATTCTCCCCACATCATGCAGATACAAGACTTGGTGGAATGGCTAGCCAGTTTCTCGGGATGTTCTAGGAAAAAAATTTATACAGTTTGCTGAAACGATATAGAACTGGATGCAAAAAAATTGCTAGTTTTACACTTTGTTAAGTCCCTTAGCTGTGCACTTTGAGAAGCTGCGCAAAGATGGCGAAGACAGAATGAGCTTGGCAGTTTCTGCGAAAGAATGATTTATGAGGAACGAAATAATGCGTCGATGGTGGTGCAGATGGGAGGAAGGAAGCTCGATCTGTCATCAACGTTTACCCCTTCACTATCCCGCGCTGGTATTTGCACAACACAGACACGGGCACTCGCCTATCCTCAACCCTCCCCCCCCCCCCCAACCCTCTTCATCCTCGAACTTCTCCCACTCGCTAAGCAATTCACTGCACATTGTGTCGTGTACGCCAGCGAAGCGACTACAATCTAAAAAATCTTATTCGATAGAGTATAAACGATACGGTAAATCAATAAACGCTTACTGCACCCAAAAAGGAAAAGTATGAGTTAAAAAGACAACTCGTCAATTTTATTGACGCGCAAATGATTGATGTTGGGTGAGACGAGAGTGATGTATCGAAATTCTTTCCGCATTCACAGCAGCAAGAATCTCGAGATAAAAACTAATAGTTCACATGTCAAGTACTGCATAGATATCAAAAGTGCATTACCAGTAAGATGCATAGAATTTGACAAGAAGATTAGATGACAGGTTCTGCTGAACCAGACAATTTACACCAAAGCAGAACCACCACGGATAATTGCCACTATTATGTACAGTCAAAGAAACAAACACAGACAAGTCCATAAGCATTCTACGTTTATCCATAATGAAATCCAACAGCCAACAAATTATAGCGAGCCCATAGTCATTGTTAACACTAAGGAAAGCTCACAGACCGGAACGGGCAAATGAATGGAAATCGAATTCATGATTGACCTCGCGCACCGCATTCGCCCTAATCGGTGTCCAAGTCAGAATAATCCATCAAAACATGTGAAATCACTCAGGGTGAGTTAAAGACCAACATTAATGCAAAGTACAAATGCAATTCTGCAGATCCTATGAGGCATGACAAATTGTCGTGTTATAAATCGTTCCTTGCAGCTTTCATTGTCAGTAAGATAGATCATGACGGAAGTTTCATTCAAAAAAATGTAAAGAATTCCGAATACTAAAAAGAATAAGGCTTATAGTGATATTAAGTGGAAGATCTCATTATATCGCGAGTAGTAACTGCAAAAATGAGACTATAGCTGACTTTTTAAATGAATTATGTTAAACGTAAACAAATCAACAAAAAAGGTGCAGGAGCTCGATACTCGAATAACTCAAAATGTATGTACGTTTTGTTCGCTTCCTGCTACATTTAGAAAAGGAAGCGGTGACACTGCATTCACTCATGATCATTTTCATTTCACGTCATCGTTATTCAAAAGTTGTTGCAACGTTCCCCAAAACGAACACAGATGCGCGCGCCGAATGTCGCGTCTCCAGAAAATGAACACGTGTGTAGCGTTTTAGTGTGAAAAAAAAAAGACGATCAAACGAGTCTGCCACATGAAGTTATCAGCAAAGCCTATTGCAAAGTAACAGCTGCATATCGCATAGTGAGATGCAAATAGAGCGAAGAATTGGATGCGGAAAGATGAAAAACACTAACAAAGAAAGATACAGGAGAGCTGTATAGGATACGACGTATTGTAACTGGATTATAAAAAGAGGGATCTCACAGAGATTGAAAAAATCTCTAAAATCCATGCTACAGGGGTAAGGATAATATGAATGGAAAGTAAATGTAACTGCGGAGATGATAGCAAGCTAGGAAGAGAGTAATGGATGGAAAAAATAAGTAAGAAATTCAGAAAGAACACAAAAATACTAACCTGCACTGAAAAGTGAGCCATCGCCAGCAGCATGTTTTGAAGCAGCACTTCCATCACTTTTGGCACTACTTTGCTGGCCACCCATAATACCCAAAGCGGCAAATGCCTGGCGAAAAATCGAATATGACGTTGGACGTCAATGTGATCCGGACCACAACGTTTGCGATGAATGCTGAAATTTGAGAATATAAAATCTTACAGATATATTCAGTGAAATTCGAAGCGCGTGATAGTACGAATGAACGAACGGAAACGACTTTAACCATGCGACCATAGAGAGTCCGTGTGCGCGTCACGAAACGTTGGTAAGTGGGGGGAGGCATGGCGGAACTAGAAAACAGAGGGTAGATGGTGCGAGGAAGACGGAACACCGAATAGGGCCGGCTTACAATAATGACCGGCTGCGATCCTCACAATTGAGGAACTTCTCTGTTGTTCAGCTTTTCATGCGAAGAACAAGAAGTGCTTAGTCAGAGAGAATATAGTTCATTGAATGATCAATACTGTGTGTGATAAAAGAATTATCATTCATTCTGTGAATAAGATACTCGAAAACGTTTCGCACACATTGTCTAAACAAGCTTGAACTTGTTTTCACTTGTCCCTAGTGACAAATAAACGTAGATTAGATAGATTACAAGCACAAACTTGCAAAATCAAGTTGTTTTGACAACGTGTGCAAAACGGTTTCAAGTCTCCAGTCATAGAATAAATGACATGTTTTCGATGCGTTGGGTAACCCCAACTCACTACACATGATTTTTAGTACAAGAGTAGAAGAACAGAACATAGAGTTCTTAAACTGTACGTCTCAAAAAAAATCCATCTGGAGTAATCATTTGAAATTTGCTTCTGCATGATGATTAACGCAAAGAAATGCAAAATTGCCTAGCAGATATCATACAAAAAGAAAATTCCTACACAACGATAAGACAAACCGGAAACTTGAGAGATGAAGAAGTGTTCAGTGAGTGGATAGAGTGGACCGTCGCACTTAGTTTGCGCTCGAATCCGACAGGAAGCAGCTGCAAATCAGGCCACAGAAAAACTGTGGATGTTGGTAATGCAAAAACTACTCAAACGCAGAGTAATATGAGAAACTGCAAGAAAAAAAACTGACAAAATGCAAAGAAACAAAAAAATTAGAAAAAATTGTAGAAATGAGGGGAAATAAACAACTCACTGGTTTGTTGAAAGGTGTAGATGGAGAGGAAGTGTAAAAAATCAAAATGATATACTGTTGAAGAACGATAAGCTAAGAAAAGACGATTCGTACGGCAACAAATACGAAGGACGAGTTGACGAGTTGACAGGCGTGCGACAGAATGACAATAGAGCACGCTAACCGCGACAGCCACAGCACGCACATCGTCAACGCAATACGACGCACAGGTGTTTTCGTGAACGACCGTCGTACGATTTCAGCTGTGTTTTTGAGAACAGCGAAGAGTGCTTGTTCAATAGTGAAAAGATGGCGTAAAATGATCGATGCGATGAACGCTCGAACGAACTACGTACGCAGCAGCAATCGGGAGCAGACAGATTGCGCGAGAAGACCAGGGATGCAGAGCGGGGCCGCGAGGCAGTGCCCGAACGGACATAGACGACGAACCGAGGGCTGAGGCCCCCCGTACCCGCTCACAAAGAGGGGAAAACTCGCCGCAGCAGTGCACGAGACGACTTCGTATTGTCCACGAACGCGAAAAACGAAAAGCGAACTGTGATGAGTAATCTGCGAAGAATTTCAGGTGCAGTGTTCGGCCGCCGCTGAGTCAAGATTACGGTTCGCGGCGACGCACTACGGACTGCAGACAATGAAAAAAAAGAGAGAAAACTCCTGCAGGGCCTACCGTTTCCGAGCGATGCGACTATCATAAGTTTGGCTATCTGTGAAAGTTCGTTTCGACTTTCCACAGAACCTGACCTTTCTGGAGCACTTTTTTCCATATGGTAGAAAAAAGAAGCCAAAAGGAGTCAGAATCACAAAAAGAAAATTTGTGATTTTCTTATTACTATTATTATTTCTTACTTTTTCTTATTTTCTTATCTTTCTCATTGTTTGGAGCGCTATGAAATGATGAATTGAGTGAGCCACAAGTTCAGACCAAATGTTGCAAAATTTTTAAAAAAAGGGAGAACTCTTGCATGGTCTGATGCTTGGGGCTCTGGAGAAGGTTGAATCCGAAACGTTAGCCTAATGAATGTTACAAAAATCCTGGGTACCGCTAAAACAATCACTGTGGAATGGTCATGACCCTATAAAAGTTTTTATTTAGTAGAAAAATAAATTAAAAATAGTCAGAATCACAAAAGAAAATTGGTTTAATGCGCATTGAAATAATGACTTGAGTGACCTACAAGTTCAGATCAAATGCTGCAAAATATAAATTTGACGCCAATTAAAATCTGCTCGACAATTTTGTCTCTGGCTAATATTAATTCAATAAAGGTCATATTTCATTTTCAACACCGGCTATACACCAGAGAAAAACCTGATGTACAGAAGCTCAAACCAGCACATCAACTTGTTCAAGTTTCGAATACGATAAACTATTCGAATCTCCAAAAAACCCGAACCGTAGCAGTTCAGCAAAGACCATTGAAATACTAAGCCCATTATGTGACGCGATGAATGAGCTGACGTCCTGATCCAAATCCAGCTGTAGCGATCAATAGAGATGGTTTTGGAAAAGATGAAGAAGAATTGACTACGTTGCGCACTGTGTAATATGAAATGATGGGCTTTATTGCTGGGAGGGAATGGACTTTTCTCAGATATATTTCTATAGGAAAAAGTGGCTGATACAGCTGAACATTCAGAGAAACTCTTCCACTATTGATCGTGCAGATCTTCCTCGAGTGCCGAGCAAATTGTTCGGCCGTAAAGAACCGGACTGTAAAAATCGTAGTAATCGGCGTTGAAATTGTTCCAAAACGACAAATGCCACAATGAACTAGTCGCCAGTCGTTTTTTCCGAACGTTCGTAAACGCAAAAAAACCGGGTACGTATGGAGTGTGAGTGAATGAGTGACGAAGATGGCGTAGACAGCGATGGACGGGGGGATATATGTGCACGGACCAGGTCACCACCACCATTCGTCCACGGTCATTATGCGACGGACAACGTAAGCGGCCCCCGCTCTTGCGCTACGCTTACCCCCCCCCGTGCCCCAACTGGCTAAAAACGTTCTTTGCGCTTTGACAGCCTGTTTGATTGGACAGTTCTTGCTACCGTTTTCTCTTCAGCTGGTGTCTCACAAAAACACCTTCGTTGAAGAAACCTGATGTGTGAAAAAACGTTCCAGAAAAAAACTGGATGCACACCGTTGTCAAACACGATGCACAGTCGAGCTTAAAATAAACTGGAAGTACGGACCTGGCTTGTAGAAAGTTTTTGCTGAGGAAAGCTAGCTTATGATAAGTTCAATCACAAATTAGTTATGGAAAGTTTTTGCTGCAATTCGGTATCAATTTTTATCTATAAAAACTTTATATTTTTCAGTTGTGGTGTGATGTAAAAAAGGCTGAAACGATATTAACTGGAGAATTGCTGGGTGCATATAAATAGACGCGATTTCTATTGCCAGATGGACACCAATTAGCACATTTTTAGTATTTTTTAATATTCTAGGAGTAATCCAAATTTCTAGCAAGATATGTATAGTCGTTCCATTGGTTCCTCAATCTTATTAATCTCAAATAGATTCAAACATAAGTTTTGGAGATCATAGCGATACTAAGTAAGCTAGAGCACTTGACCTGGTATTATTGAAATACTCTCTTACCTCTAGACTAGGCTGTTAAACTGGTGAACTCTACAAAAATCTCACCTCTTGACCGTCTTCCAGAATTGCTTTAACTTCCACATACAAAAAAATTTGTAAAAGCGTTGCAGCCCAGGCACGAAATGAGAACTTTTACGCGCTTCCAGCACGTCTTCTACAAATTCGGAAGGTGAGATAAATGGGGGGGGGGGGTGGGTGGGGTAGAGAGGACGAAGGGTCTCTTGCAAATTTTTTGAGAAACTTCTCGCTGATAGTAGACCGATTTGCTGCATTAGGAGAAAAAAATAAGCAAGTGCTGAGAGGGCAACGAGCGGCCCTCTAAAAATCAGCAAACAAACCGCAAAGAATTCAGCCACCTGCCCCCTCAATGGCAGCCGACTGTGGGTCGAGCAGTCGAGCATAAGCCAAATTATATGGAGCGACGCATTTTTTTCTGCTGCAAGGCTTGGGACGTGAGAGAATAGCAGAATTCCGGAATAATTTATCAGCAAGCACGGAAAGCCTGTCTTGGCTTTCATTAAGTTTTGCGCGTGACTACTTTCTTCACATTACTCTTGTCGCAATTCGCGCAATCAGCCATATTAACAACAGCTCGGCGAATCGGCCACATTAGTCGCTCTGTCGCCTTCGACAGCATCGGGACCAAAATCGCACATCTTTTGGGAATAGGGTGCGAAAGGTCAGAAGTCAATGCGCTAGGTTTCGAGAAGTCAACGCATTTCTGCTTAAGCCGATTCTCAATTAGAACTGGAGCAGCACTCAGTGTTTTGCTCTTGGCGCACATAATGAGGGGAGCTCTGCTCCTTTAGTGCTCTAATCAAACCGTCCACCGGAATATATAATCATAAAAAATTCTGCAAAGCGCTAGCAAGAAAGAAAGTAAATTGGCAAGGTATGCCATGTGTAAAATGTGGAATATTGTGCTTTAAGAAAAGAAAAAAACTTTTGCTGTAAAAATCTGCACTTTGGGCATGACCACCCGCACATTCTTCGCACGGAAATATTTTCGCTGCATTGTCTCACTTTGTAGGCTTTGTTAGTCATTTGTCATCATTAACGAAGAAAGTACGGTTAGGTTGAAGACTGTATATTTACTGTACACTTATCATCAAACTCGCCCACAGCTAAAATCCAGTGGTGCAGAGAGAGGGGGCGGGTGGAGGGAAGGGATAGGGCCTCCTAAAAATGGGTCGCGAAAATTTCTTACAAGCTACTGCATGAATTATGAAATAGTGCAAGTGACTTGTTTGTACTTGTAAAGATGAAATAATTATCAGAATTTCTCAAAAATCAATTTAGGCTTGCAATATATTGAGTTGGTCCGAAAGTTCTTGCGCATCATTTTCAAAAAATCATAACTTCCTCGCCATTCAATTTCGGATTTCGTT